TCCTTTGCCTCCCCCCTCTGCATCTCCAGAAGTCAGGTGAGGAAGTAGCTGGAGAGACTGAACTTGAATAAGGCTGCAGGTCTAGATGGTGTCAGTCCCAGAGTCCTGAAGGTCTGTGCAGAGCAGCTCTGTGGGGTTCTGAAGCACCTCTTCAATCTTACCCTGACCCAGGAGAAGGTTCCAGTGTTGTGGAAAACATCCTGTTTTGTTCCAGTGCCAACAGAAGCTCACCCATCAGTCTTCAATGACTATAGACCTGTTGCCCTGACATCCCACATCATGAAGGTCCTAGAGAGACTTCTACTGACCCACCTGACTAGACAAACAAGCACATATCAGGACCCACTGCAGTTTGCTTACCAGCGTGGACTTGGAGTTGAAGATGCCATCATACACCTGCTTCAACAAACTCAGTGTCATCTAGAAAAGGCAGACAACACTGTGAGAGTCATGTTTTTTAATTTATCCAGTGCATTTAACACAATCCAGCATCATCTGCTTTGTCAGAAACTCCAGAAGACTCGGGTGGAGGCCTCAGCAATCACCTGGATCAAATACTCTCTGACAAACAGACCACAGTTTGTGAGACTGAAGGGTTGTGTGTAGCCAGGTGGTCAGTAGCTCAGGAGCACCACAGGGGACTGTACTCTCACCATTCCTTTTCACTCTGTACAACTTGGATTTCTAGTACAAAACAGACTCCTGTCATCTGCAGAAATATTCTGATGACTCTGTAGTGGTCGGGTGTATCAGAGATAGACAAGAAGCTGAGTACAGGGAACTGGTGGACCGCTTTGTGGCATGGTGTGGAAACAATCATCTCATCTTGAATGTGGACAAAAACAAAGGAGATGATTAAAGATTTCAGGAGAAATAGGAATAGGTCCAACCCTATTTCTGTCATGGGAGAAGAAGTGGAGGTGGTGGAGAAGTATAAATATCTTGGGGTTCACCTGGACAACAGACTGGACTGGAAATGCAACAGTGAAGCGTCTACAAGAAGGGACAGAGCAGACTGTACTTCTTGAGGAAGCTGACGTCCTTCAATGTTTGCAGCAAGATGCTGCATATCTTCTATAAGTCTGTTGTAGAGAGCGCTGTCTCTTCTGCCATCATCTGCTGGGGTAGCAGCACCAGAGCAAGTGACTTAAAAAAGAGCAACAAGCTCATAAAGAAGGCTGGATCAGTTCTGGGGACTCGTCTAGAACCTTTGGAGATGATTGTTCAAAGAAAGATTCTTCATAAAATGGAAGAACATTATAGACAATCCTCAGCACCCTCTTCATCAGACTGTCATACAACAACAAAGTGTCTTAAGTCAGAGGCTTCTTCAAATCCGTTGTAGGACAGACAGTTACAAGAGATCCTTCCTGCCCACAGCCATCAGCATCTAGAACAACTCTTTAATGAAACCAGGATGATGAGTTACCACAACATATAATTTCCCTCTGTGACTAATAAAGAATTTTTGAATTGAATTGAATTGATAGAGAGGCCTGAGCCCAAGGCTGGAAGGACTCAATCAATCAATCATCAATCAATCAATCAATCAATCAATCAATCAATCAATCAATCAATCAATCAATCAATCAATCAACCAACTTTATTTCTATAGCACATTTTAAAAACCGCAAGGGTAGCCAAAGTGCTGTACAATAAGACAAAAAGACAAATTAATTAAGAAAATAAAAACACAAAGCATACACAAAGAAACATAAAAGCATACACATACCAGTTTCACGGCACGTGTGTTAAGATGCCATAAAAGATAAGAACACGTGTTAGCACACATGATAGCAGGATAGCACGATGGCAAGGCAGTGACACAGAAAACTCCACAAGTGTGTCACGGTCATACCCGTACTGTGGATGTGTATGGTAGATGCAAAAAAAGGTTAAAACAAAAACAACAGGAACTAAAAAGATCAAGTTCACTGGGAGCCTATGAAGCTGTGACTCGGCTGAGCGCGTTCCATCTTGGAGCATAGTCATAGTCACAACCTCTCCTGTGGCTTCTCCGCCTGTCTCCACTGCCTCCTTGGGCATCTCCTCACACCTCTTCTGCTAGAGCCCAAGAGGTTACAGGTGGATGCCACTGCTGCCCATGAAGGGATATCTCCATTCTGCCCGCCAGAGCCTTGGCCCGAAGACAAATGGTCTCCTGGCCGCCCACCAGAACTCTGGCCTGCTGACAGATGGTCTCCAGGTCACCCCCTGGATCTTCTGTCCTGCTTTGAACAGTCTCCTGACTGCCCACCTTGGCTCTGGGGGTTGGGGCTCTGTGTTCCCCTTTTTTGTGTTTAGTGTTTATCCAGGTTCCTACCTGTTGGTCCTCTTGTTTTCTTGCTCCTCTTGTTCCTTTGTGTGTCCTACTTCTTGTTTTTTCCACCTCCCAGCCAAGTGGATGTAGCTCTCTCCTTGGGATTTCAAGGGCCATCCCTTGAGTGGGGAATCTTGTAAGGTTTCTGGGGTCTGGTTCTGTCTTTTGTTCTTTCCTCATGTTTGCCAGTCACCCCTCAGTGTTTTCCCCTCTCTGTGTTCCAGCTCTGTCATATCTGTGTTCAATCTAATCACCGCAGGTGCCTGTCATTTCACCATTGTCCGTCCGTCCATCCATTCATCATCTTCTGCTTGTTCTAAAGTCAGGTTGCGGGAGCAGCAGCTTGAGCAGAGAGGTACAGACATGTCTTTCCTCAGCCACCTCTTCCAGCTCTTCTTGGAGGACCCCAAGGTGTTCCCAGGCCAACAGAGAGACATTTCTCCAGTGTGTCCTGGGTCTTCCCCGTGGTCTCTTCCCTCTTGGACATGTCTGAAGCACCTCCCTAGGGAGACACCCAGGTAGCATCTTTGCTAGATGCCTAAACCACCTCAACTGGCTCCTCTCATTGTGGAGGAGCAGCGGTTCTACTCCAGTTTGCTCCCAGACAACTGAACTTCTTACCCTATCTCTAAGGGAGAGTCCAGCTACTAGGGGTGTAACAATACACGTGGGTGCACCGAACCGTTTCAGTATGGCACGTTCGGTTTGGTCCATGTGCGTACCGTTTCGGTTATTTTTTCATTATTTAAATTTTATTAATGAAAGATTATGCGCTGCGGAACTAAAGTTCCTAAGTGTGTTTCAGCATGGTGCTATTATCTTGCAGCATGTGCAGTATTAGCAGCCTAACATGTCATTGCGGTCTCCTGTTGGGGAACATTATGGCTTTCTTGTTAAACGACAAGTGAACAAGTCCAAAGCTGTGTGTCGACGTTGTTTTATGGAGATTAGATCTGCTGCAGGCAACACGTCTAACTTGTTAACGCTCTTGAAACGACATCATCCGAACGTGAACATCTCATCTACAAGCAAGAAAAGCAGTTTGTTGCAAAGACCAATACCAGCAGCATTTAAACAACCTTTATCAGGTAATTCAGATCAGTCCAAAGCAATAACACAAGCTGTAAGAGTTTTTAAAACTATGGATCAACGTTTCTGTTGTTGATGCGCCAGCTTTAAAGTTATTGAGCCCTGCTACGACATTCCATCACGTTAACACTTCAGCCAAAATGTTGTAGCAGCGCTTTAAGAAAAAGCTAAAACTGATATTGTCAACAAGCCTTGGACCAGATTAAAGTCCTGCCCTGATGATGATGACCGAGAGATTCAACCACCTCATAACAACTGTTCAAGAAGAGGTATTGTTCTTTTATTATTATTATCTAATTAACTTTTTTAATGTAAAATTATAATCTTATTAACTCTTTTTTTATTACCTCTTTGTGTTTTATTTCCAGTCTGTGACAGAGATAGCAGCTGCGAGTCTTCTTCCTCTTCAGGGAAATCAGAAATCACCTCCATCTAAGAAATCTGTGATGAGTGAACTCTGAACTTTTCCAGGGACCTTTCCCACCTGTGGGAGCAGGTCCAAGAGGAGGTTGTGAGTCATGTGAGGCCAAATCCAGCCACACTGCAACATTAACAAAGCACTACCTCTCTATTCCTGTTACTGTTGTTAGTGAGAGGTTTTCTCCACCGCTGGAGATATTCACTGCAACTAGATCTGAGCTTTTGGCAGAAAATGTGGACACATTGGTCTTTTTGGTCAAAAACTTAAAACTTTATTAGTTAGATTGTAAACGGTCTGTTTCTGCTTGTTGTTCTGCTTCTGACTGTTATTGTATTTATTAAGATTTTTATTATTGTTAGTATAGTTTATTTATTGTAAAGAGTGCTGTTTATTTAAAATATCATCCAAATGGGTCACTTTTATTTATTTTATACAAATGTATTGTTTACTTGGCATTTTTTCAAAATAAATATTTTGTAAGTCTTTATTTTGACCTTCATTTTTGTACCAAAAATGAACCGAACTGAGCCCTCCCTGAAACTGAAACGAACCTAAATGTGATTTTAACGTACCGTTACACCCCTACCAGCTACCCTGTGGAGGAAACTCATTTCAACCACCTGTGTCCGAGATCTTGTTATTTCAGTCACTACCCAGAGTCTGGAGCCAAAGGTAAGGGTAGGAATGTAGACCAACCTGTAAACAGAGAGCTTTCCCTTCCAGCTCAGCTCCCTCTTCACCACAATGGACCAGCACAGAGTCCACAATACTGGAGACACTGCACCAATTTGTTTGTTCGTTTCATTCTCCATTCTTCCCTCACTTGTGAACAAAACACCAAGAATCTCAACTGTTCCACCCAAACAGCAACTGTGGACAAGGTTGTGGATTGGTGTAACAACCATAGACTTCTCACAAATACCAGTAAGACCATTAAGATGCTGCTAGATCTCATAACAGATGATGACCAGAGCCCCTTGACTATACACAACAATCCCATTTAACAGATGACTTCATACAAATACCCAGACATTCATATTGATAGTAACTTATGCTGGCAGACAGGTTGGCACCATCTGTTCCAGAATCCATCAACGCCGCCACTTTTTACATAGAATATTTATTATGTGTTTTCAAAAACATCTGTGTGTGTTTTGTTTGCCTTCACAGGTACATGGCCATCATCCACCCCCTACAGCAGCGCATGTCATCCACCGAGACCAAAATCGTAGTGGGTGTGATCTGGGTTTTGGCTCTGCTTCTTGCCTTTCCTCAGTACTACTACTCTACTATGGACCAGCTACCTGGAAGGGTAGTATGCTACATTGAATGGCCTGAATATTCCTTGTGCGACTTCAAAAAGATGTGAGTGTCTCTGCAAAGCAGCAATTTAAACCTCCAACAAATGTTAATTACGTATTCATTATTTGAATCAGGTCGAGGCTGCTGGTATTTCAGGCAAATGAATGTAAAGCCTGTTGTGCTTTCCGGTGATCAACCGAAGCATTTTGCATATGTTTTGTGTTCCTCTTACAGTGTTAAATAAAATACACTGAAGTTGGACTGAAGAAAATGTGCTCAGAAATTCAAACTGGAATTTTATTTGTGCATCAACATTTAGTGGACAGTTAAGCCAGAGTTAATAGGCTTTGTATGACCTAATTCAGCTTATTATTACACCTAAGCAGATTGACAATTTATGTTTTTATTGATGCAATTGGTTCCAACTTTCTCTAAAAGTAAGTTCAATTCAATTTCATTTCAGTTTATTTATATAATCCTCATTTATATAATCCTCATATATTATCATTTATTATTTATATAGTTTATATTATCCTCATTGAGGACTGAACTAGGCAAAAGGGCCTTCTCCTTCTCCGCTCCTGTTTCCTGAAATATCTCCCTCTCAGTTTTCAAATCCCGTTTAAAAACTCGCTACTATTCAGTAGCTTTCAACACCAGATCTGTGTTTTGAGCCTGCATGCTCCACACTGGTTAGTCGTCATATTTATTATCTGAATCGTTTTTATGTCTATATTCTGATTTACTTCATTTTGTATTTTGCTTTGTGTGTTGTCTGTTGTTCTGTCTGTACAGCACTTTGGTTGGCCTTGTAACTGTTTTAAGTGCTCTATAAATCAAATGGTATGGTATATCTTGTAAAAAGATCTGAATCTCTTGACCTTGACCTCTTTAAGTGGCTTCAAACATCTGTTAAGTTCCTGGCAAAAACCAATGCAGACATGTTCCTGTTTTTAGTTTTCTACACCGCCTTATAATCTAGCTGGGTTTTTTTTTCCTTCTTTTTGCTGCTTTTCCCTTTGACTGGCCTTTTGGTTGCTATTTTGTTTTTATTTGTTACAAAATTTAAATTTCATTTTTTTAATGCCTCTTTTCTGACAGTCTATTGTTGTCGTTGTTACTCACTGTTGTCATCACTCTTTGTTAAGAAATCAGGTCTCTCTTGTAAATGAGTCCCCAAGGCTCAATTGGATTAATCTGTCTAAATAAAGGTTGAATGAATATAACGCCAAGTCACAAAAGAAGTCATCTCAGGGCACTGAACAGAAACATTCCATCCATCCAACCATTAGTTTTTTACCCGCTTCTTCCATTTTGGGTCATGGGGTCGCCGGTGCCCATGTCCAGCAATCACTGTGCGAGGGGCGGGGGACACCCTGGACAGGTCGCAAGTCCATCACAGGGACCCATAGAGACAAACAACCATAAAATAATATTTTCACATTATTTATCTGAGGAGCAGACTGCTTTGAGTTTAACTCCATCACAGAACTCTCATCTTGAACAAGCATGAAGGCGACAGTGGAAAGAAAAACTCCCTCATGTGGAAGAAACCTTTAGCAGAACCAGGATCAGGACAAAAGGCCATCTGCTTCGACCAGCTGGGTTTGGTAGGAATAGATACACAATGGCAGGTCAAGAATCACATGTTAAGATAGAAATAGTATCAAATGAAAACTATTCAAGTTTAACAATTCATTTAAGGAAATTAGGCCAATTTGTCTAGTAGTCTAAGTCTATAGCAGCAAAACAAGCAGTGCTGTAGTCTATGTGATATGCAAGTATATGGCGTATTACCAGTAAAAATGCTTGGGAATTTCCGTATAACCACTTAAAAGTGCCCAATGATACGTAACATATATGTTAAACAGCAATTAAACTCTGTAACATCAGTCTCGTATGTATGAAGCACTTCTCTGTTGTTCTGAGAAACAGCACCCGCTGCAAACACTCCCCCTTTCTTCCCTCTTTTCTCCTGTGAGGCTCACAGCCATTGGCTGAAAGCCTCCACAGCTCTGCTCTGATTGGTTCGTTATTCAGCTGCTCCTGTGATTGGCTGGGGAAGCAGCAGTGGGAGTCGAAACATTTGCAGCAGCAGTTAGATTATCTTCAATGCTTAGTCAACATGAAGAGAAAACAAGCTACACTTTGTGAATGTTTTTTATAAACCAGCATCCCCTGAAGTCACAGAGGCAGCTTTAGAAGAACCTCTGTGGATCAATAAACCTCCCACTTTGACGGCCGAAACCAGCAATAATGAGGCTGACGTCAGCGTTACTCCTGGTAAGTACAAGTGGCTAATAGTTAGCTGAAGCTAGCTGAAGCTAGCTAAAGCTGCGTGTAATCACTGCACCATCCAGCTATTTACAGAAACATTTCATAGGGCAATAAAGTTAAATCAGGTCCTCTAGACGGTTTCTGTTTTGTATTGAAACATTTCGGACCTTTACCTGGATTATTGAGCATGAACTTTGATTTCATAGGGCAGCATCTGAGTGCATGTTCACAGGACTAACATTAAATAAATATGTGAATATAAAAATGATGTGTTTGTGTCAAAGTGTGTCGTAGTGTCGTAAAAAATGTGTAGAAATATAATATGTATCACAGTCTGATCATTTGATTTTCAGGTTTTAGTTTGTCATAGTGCAAAAGTGTAAGCAGTTAATAATGAATGTAATTGTGTATATAGGATTAGACTTGGTCCAGCAGTAGATGCTATTAGTAATACAGGTATTAGGAAAACTTAAATTATATAATTATGGTCATTGTTATTTATTTGCAGGATGTGCTGTTTGCAGTAGGATAAAGTGAACCAATGTCCTGACAGAGAAGAAGATCTTCATATCTTTGAAGTGGGCCTCCTTTAAGATCCATTCAGGCTCAAATGAGAACAGAGGAACAGCACTGTCTTCACTCCAGAACAAGATTCTCCAGCATGAGATGTCCAAGGCTCATGAAATTGCTCAGGAGCTTACACAAAAGAGTGGTTAAGATGTTGTCAAAAAAGTGTACGGAGCTCAGACTGATCTAATGGGAGAGAACAAGTCAGAACATGTTATTATGTGTCATCATGTCATTTTGTGTTGATCTGCTAAGTCATGGTTTGAAGGCCTCAATGCCTTGAAAGGTCGAACAGCGTTAGCACACACACACACACACACACACACGCACACAGACCCGTCTGAGGCCCCTCGCACACACACACACACAGGCCCGGCTGAGGCGCACACGCAGGATGAAAATAGCAGAGCAAGAACGGAGGAAATGTCTTCCCTTCTTAAATAAAGTACCAGTTTCAGATAAATGAGAAATATGTGTTTATGAAGAATCAATAAACAAAGTAGATGATCAAGTGAAATTATAAACTTTGTGATTAAAAAATGTAATCTTATGATTTTACAATGTAATCTGTATTTAAGCTGATTCATGATGAACGTTGAATGGAAGAAACCTGTAGCTTCTTGAATGTTCTGGAAAGAACCATTGTGTCATACAAGAGAGGAGGCCTTTGAAAAACAGCTCTGAACAAATCAGAACAGGACAGCACAGGATGACAGTGCAAAAAAGTAAACTAAGTACACCCAGATTTTAATATACATAAGAATGACTTGCAAAGTCTCATAAGGAACAAGTGGAGTCGAACCGAGAGCCCGCCTAAAAAGGTGGAGTAAGCCAGATGGGGTGACTAGCCGAGAGCTGTCAGTCAAAATCTGAGGCTTATAAAAACAGAGTTTTCAGTCGAATCTCTGCTGTTTGGGGACCCTCTTCACTGATGAAGGACCGAGGACGAGATCCTAGGAACCTTTGGACGAATTGTGGATTAATAGGGCAATTTGGGACGTTCTAGCTGGATGAGAATTAGGGTGAGAATCCGATGGAATAAGTTTCTTTTTTGGAACTATTTCTTCAAAACTCAACAGCCCGGATTAAACCTGAAACCCTTTTTCTTCAAATTGAACCAGCACAAGGATTAAGGAGTGGCCCAGATCCTAACGACATGGGATTGGGAAATCTGTCTCTTACCGCATTCAGAAAACATGGTAAGGGAACGCTCCACAAAATTGATCCTAACTAAAACCGAAATTTACCAAATTTTAGCAGTGGTGTATGAATTGACAAACAGAAAAATTTATTATATCAAAAACCTGGTTGTTCAGAGTTGTAGAAGGGTCTTCTTTGTGGTGAGGAATAATCTGTTGGGGCAGGTGGAGAGAGTAGGTAAGCTGTGTGGGTACTTGTGTTCCCGAGGGAAACCGGGCGTAGCCGGCTGGACTGAGAGAAGTCCGACGCCGGGCAGAGAGGAGACCAAGCGCCTGTTTCAAACCCATCTACCCACCTCACCCAGGGAAGGTCAACAACTAAAAAGGAATTAAGCATTGAGAATCATTCATCATGGGCAGCACGGTGGCGCAACTGGTAGAGCTGCTGCCTCTCAATGAGCAGGTCCTTGGTTCAAACCCCGGTCCGGGGGCCTTTCTGGGTGGAGTTTGCATGTTCTCTCCGTGCATGCGTGGGTTTTTGCCGGGTGCTCCGGTTTCCTCCCACAGACCAAAAACATGCATGTTAGGCTAATTGGTAACTCTAAAATTGTCCCTAGGTGTGAGTGAGAGAGTGAATGGTTGTTTGTGTTGTTTGTCTCTATGTGGCCCTGTGATGGACTTGTGACCCGTCCAGGGTGTACCCCGCCCCTCGCACAGTGATTGCTGGACATGGACACCAGCGACCCCCGTGACCCAAAAATGGAATAAGCGGGTAAAGATAATGGATGGATGGATGAAATCATTCATCATGTAACCTCTGTGTAATCCAGTGTAATCATTATTGTGCTATACCGCTGTTCCCCTGCCAAAATTATTGATTAAAAGCAAAGCAAAACGTAAAATTCTGGATTCTTATTTCAAACACACCCTTTTGTTCTTGGAAGTGAAAACTTGGTTCAATGAAACATCAGAAGTATGTGGGAGGTTTTAAACGGTTTTATTAGCTTTTGATTATAAAACAACACCCAAGAGTCTTTGTTCCTAGGCTCTAAAAATCACCAGATCGATTAACAATTGCAA